TTATGAGCATTTAATTTGGGGGGAGTACTGCAAAATGTTCCACTCGCTGTACTTGAATGGCTGCCATTCAATGAAATGTTTCTTTCAGACAAGAAGGGGACAAATGCCAACAGCAGGACACAGGAGTTTCAGAGGGGAGTAATTGTGGGGTTGTCTCTTCTGTGGTTGTGTATTAAATCATTGGAGGAAGAGCAAAACAGAGCTGCAGGAAGGAGCAGCATTTTCTGGGAAGGTTGTTTTGAGGCTTGATTTTTATTTATTTTATTTTTAATCAGAGAGCTTGGAGGTAAGATGTTTTAGGTGTTTTTATACTTGCTGAAGGCATCCAAGATGGTCATTGTCAACATAGATTTTTAATTTTTATTTAATAGAAAAAGTGGATAAACAGGAGACTGGGGATTGAATTCAATTATAGAATTAAATAAATTCTATTAATTAATATAATTAAGTAATATAATTAAATAATTATGCATTGCAAGGTTACTTTTTGGGGAATAACAGCCTTTTGCCTTTCTGTTTTTATAAGAAGTTAATTTTATGTATTGGAAAGAGCCATGGCAAATGACTTGTGTGTGCTTGCTTATCACAATGGATTAATGATCTTTTGGTGCTGTGTGAGTGTGAACAAGGTGAGAGAGTTTGTATGCCCAAAAAGGTGGATGGCAGGAGTTTGTGGCATGGAATGGAGAAGGGAGAGGCTGCTCTTGGAGCACTGATACCCAAGACAGGAGGTTGTTTGGCATGTCCTGTATCCTAACTCGGCATGTCTCAGGGATTTTGTACAATTTGCCAAAGTCTTTTGGAGATGTTGTCCACTATGCTGAAGTCTTCTTTCAGACAATGTCAGGGTTGTGAGAGGAATAAAAAAACACTTTTTGAAAGATCATCTGATGGAGTGCTTGAAGTGATTAGGGTTAGTGGGAGAAAATTAAGTTGCACATCTAAAGGATCAAATTACGTAAAAAAAGAGTATAAAGTTCTTGCCTTTAAAAAAGAAAGAAAGAGGGGAGTGGAAAATACTGGAATTGTGAGCTTTTAAAAACAAGCATTATGATGTCTCAATTTATGTGTCACATTTGAGTTTCAGTTTTGTGCACATTCTGCAGTCTCATTTTGTTACACGTGAAAGGAAAAATAATCACAAAGGCTATGAAGTGTTGTGGAGTAAACCTTATTACATGTGGAACATCATCATTAGGAATTACAGATCAGACATAGTAAAATGAAATGCTTAAAAGGTATTTATTGTGAGAGCTTTTCAATAAGAAGTCTTGTATACTAAAATGGTGAACTCCAACTCTTTGTGTCTTTCTAACTATACTCGAGCTAGCTGTGAAAGGAAAGCTGTGAAATTTTTGTTGCTATTTGTGTGTCATGAAAGAGCCAAATGCTTTCTAAAACCTGCAGTCACAAACTGATTATGAAATTCCCAGAGGGACTGTGATGGGACTATCATAAATTAACAATGGAAGGGTGACTCACTGCAGGAGAAATTCATGTAATAAACTTTTCAGTATTTATAGGACCAGGAGGATAAAATGTCATTTAATTTCATTTGATTAAAAACTAGTAGGCAAGAGAGAAAGAGGAAGAAAAAAATGATGCATCTTTTATTTCAGGAGTGAAAAATTGAAGGAATGTGTGAGAAGCATATTATGAAGCAGGACACTACAGTGGTTAATTTCTAATCTGATCAATGCTCCAAAATGGTCACATCAATATCTTAACTATTCTATTTGAAAACTTAAGGTGATAGTTATTTTTTTTCAGGTTCTGGATGCAGGGTGTAGCTGTTGAGTGGAACAGCTGGATTATGAGGAGTTGGATGTGCATTGAATCTGATGCTCTCAGGTTAAGAACCATGTCTGGTGCTGCTTAAAGGTTTGGTTTTTGTGTGTTGGTTCTTTCAGGAAGTGGAATTCAGTGAGCTTGTGTTCATTCCCAGCAGGTACTTGCATGGGTTCTTCACTAAATCTTTCCAGCACTGTGACAACACGGGGAGTTTGTCACTGGGTCATGGTACATTCACCCTCATTCTCTCTCCTCTCTACCTTGCATTGCCAATGTTTATTTTTGGTTTATTTTCAACATATTCTCTGTGGCTCATTAATAAGCAGCATGTATGCCAAGCTTAATGTTGATCAAATCTAAAAGGAATGAAAGCAGCAGCAGATATCTGTGAGGAAAGGCAAGACTGTTAAACAAAATATAAGTATTCTTGAATGAGTTAAAACATCTTCAAAAACTCACCTGGAAATAAAAATCTCAGTGTTACATGTCGCTTAAGAAAGAAAAACTGTCTGGAGGTTTGGCCAAAAAGGCCAATTTATTTTTTTAGTATTTCTCTTTTAAATTTATTTGTTCATGTTCTGCTGTTCCAATGTGATGGAACAAAGAATTTTGTGGAAGTGGTGGTGAAAGAAGGATCAAATCTGTTCAGTACTTTGTAGAGATGACTGAGAAGAGTCAGATGTTTAGAAGACAGACATGCAGGAAATAAATGAGTAGTTAAACATGTTAGTGGGAAAAGACTATTTTCTGGAAATTCATGTTATTAGTGAGTTTAAGTGGAATAAAATTATTATTTCAAAGTATTTTATGTTAAAGCTAGAAGCAGCTCTTCTGACATTTCCTATCCCTTCTGTGACTCCTCCTGCCAACACTGTAGGTCTGTTTTAGGAGAGACAATAGTGATGTTTTTGAAAGTTTTTGTCCTGGTTTTCTAGCTATAATAAAGAATAAGAGCATTATTTGTTTTTTTTAAGCAAAACAGAACCATGAAGACGTGACTCATGCTGATTGATTTTTTTTTTTTTTCCAAGAGGAATTATGATGTAATTTAGGTTGGTTTTGATTGTTATGTGTTGCTGCAGAATAAGTGCAATCCTAAATGACACCTGGGACTGCTGTGATTAAGTTTTTTGAGTGCGTTTCTGAGTGGGTTAATCTTATGCAAAAAAAAAAAAAAAAGGTGGTTTTAATTTTCTGTTGCTCCTCCACATATTTCTAAAGAGATTTTCTAAATGGATTTCCCTACAGAACTAGAATATAAAAGCTAGAGGTCTGTTCATTGCTTCTGTACATTAGTTCTGGTAAGGATTAAATGGAAAGAACTTGAGTGGAAATCAAAGCATAACAGATATACCCTGGAAATTTTAAAAGCAATTTAGGAGGATTTGTATGTTTTGTACAATTCATGTTCATTTTTGCAATTTTCTAAGCTAAATGCAGAATGAAAAATAAGTTTTTATATTAATAATTTTCATTGAACGGAGATAATAAAAAAAATAGCTAATTGGTTAAATATCCCGCTCAACAGCCAGTGTTGGATTTTTATGGGTGTAGTAGAAGTAACAGTACAATGCAAAGAAAACCTGAAGTGATTGGAATCTTTAATAAGAAAACTTCTCTAAATCTTACAGGTATGTGAAAACTTACAGAGAATATGCTTGGAATTTTTAGCATATGCAAGTATATTTAAAATCTAGGTAAATTCTTATGTTCAGTTGTGTTTAAGAAACAACCACATTTTTTAACTGTTTCAGTTTTGTGTTTTTAAATTGGTTTCAAGGAGTATACTTCTGGTTTTGTTATGGCAGAAGATAAATCAGGATGCTTAAATAGATTGTGGCAGCATTTGTATAGACTGGATGGTATGTCCTCTGTAACATAGTTTTGTCTTATAGATACTGCTTACAAAAAAATTCTGAGTCAGTGCTTCATTTTTTCATGTGAGTGATGCAATTTAATATTGGGTGATCACCCAGCTAAATTTTGTTTCCTTCATTAGCTTTGTAAAATATTGTGGGAAGCTTTTGCTTCTAGAGCATAAGCTTAGGAAACTGTGTTAAGTAATGCAGCCTAAGGATCTTAAAAGATCATAAGTAGTTCTTACTTTCAGCCACAGTAGAGTTATGTTATTAGTCTCATAAGTATATTATTTATTTTTTGAGGGGCAAAGTCATATAAAAGCCTTTGTTTTCTAAAAAATGTTTCCAGAAAAATGTTTTGGTCTTCCTTGCCTTTGAATTTCTGTTTTAATCCAAAGGAATTTGTGGGTGAGTCTTAGTTCTTTCAAGAATTAAATTGGAAAACTTCACTTAAAAGGTGCTTTTACCCTTGGGTTGTATAATTAGTGAGAGTAAGTTTAGTTCATGTTAATTTCTATTTAATATGATTGTAGCTGATAAGTAGTCTTCAAAATAAAATGAACCACCTGTTTCACTTAAAAAAATAATCTGAGAAGTGGGGAGAAAAACCCCATGTGGAGATTAATATTGAAGTATATGGAGAATTTGTTTTTCAAGTCTAGTTTGGGTTTTCCTTCAGTCAACAGAGGTCAGTTAAATCAAGTGAGAGAAAAAACTTATGGCAACACGAAGGTGCTCTAGAGAGTCAGTCACATTTGTACTTTGGTTTAGATTCAGTGGCATAAAAACAATAAAAATCCTTTTCTTTCCATGCTCCAGTGTGCATTCCCTAGACTATAGAATTACAGACAGTCACTTGGTAATTTGGAAAGAAAATATTTCCAAAGTGGAGTTGCAGTCATACAAGTGCTGCGTTGCTGAGTGAAGAGCCAGTTATTTCTGTCAGCAGAAATAGTTCCTGCCTTTTCATCAGTCAGGTACCAGGAGGAGGGGCATGGGGCAGCTTCTGGAAACACTGCTGCTCTTTTATAGAGGAAAGAAGGCTTAACACAGCATTAAGTTCTACTGATTCTTTTTTTTTTTTTTTTTTTTTTTTTTTTTTTTTTTTTGGTGTTTTTATTTGTTTGTTTGTGGGTGTTTGGTTTTCTTTTTTTAGTTTTGTTTTGGTGAACTATTATTCTGACATAATTGCAGTTCTGCACAAAATACAAAAAAAACCCCAAACATTTCCAAAAAGGCAATGATATATTTTCCACTAGTGCATGAGGGAGATTTTCCAGCTAAGCTCTAAATCAGCCATCAGTTTGTCACTGCTGTGAGGTGAAAGTTGTCTGTGTTTTCACTCCACAGCGTTTCCTGGATATGACATTTGGAGCTGGAGGTCACACAGCAGCTCTCTTAGAGAGAGCCAGTGATATCAGTGTGTATGCCCTGGACAGGGATCCCACAGCTCACAGAATAGCTCAGCAGCTTGCACAAGCCTACCCGTAAGTTGTCTCCTCCTCTGTTATAAATATGGTTGGGATAAGGTTGGTACTTTGGCATTTTATCCATAATTTAATCTATTTTTTTAGTTTTAATGTCTTATTGTGGAATAGCGTTCTGTGCTTTGTGCACCCTGCTGAACAGGAGATCCAGTTCAATTTGTTTATGAGTGTTTGCATGTAGCTTCTGCTTAGGTTCTTGGAGTAAATGTGTATTTTGTAGTTTTAATTTTAAGCAGGTATCAAGTAGCTAATTTTATATTTAAAAAGATATTTTAAAAAGGTTCATGTGTTCTGCTTGCCTTGAGATGATTCTGAGTGCAAAGTAGTACAAAAACATACCTTTTTGGTACATATTTCACAAAAATGATGGAATAATATGTTGCAAAATAATTGGGTCATTTAAATATGGATTATGAATATTTTCATTTTAAAAACCCTAAATAATTGTAATTAAGTATTGGGTTTGCTAAGCATTTTGCCACTGGCTGCAGAAGCTACTGAACAATTTAATAAGCTACAATTTCTGTGTATAGCTTATGCTTCAATTTTCTTTTTAAATAAGAGTGCTGAATTTGCTAAATGAAGAATTGCTAAATGCAAATTTTCACTTTTTTTTTAGTCATGCAAAGTTATTGCTCCTTTATTTAATTCAGGAAAGGACCCAGTCAGAGCACCAATGCCTTGGTGCAAAAGTGTGCAATATATGGAGTTGAATGTGAACTTTTCAGAAAGTCACATTTTCAATCTGACCAAGAAGTAAAAATACATAGATACAAAGTTAAATAATATGAAGTAGCCAAGACTTAAGAAATTTAGGTGAGGTGGTAAAGAGAGAATACTCACTGTCAGGTTGAAAATATTATTTCAAAAAGAGCTTTAACAAGAAGAGAAGCAAATATTTCCAGTAAGAAGAAATCAAGAAGAGGTGGATAAAAAACCACTTTGGTGGTTCTTCAGTTGTGTTGTCCCACATAAAAAGAAGTTCTAAGGCAGCAGTAATTTTTAAGCATTGCAGAAGGTTTTCCTCAGCTTTTTGAGATGAAGGACTAAACTGTGCATTCCTTCCTTCAAGTGTGTTTGACAGAGACCCGGTGGGAGAAATGCAAGCATGTGCCAGGACAGCATAGCTTATTTTCTAGCCCTCCTACTCTCTAAGACCACTTGGATATATTTCTCTAAATTTTCAGTTCTCTTTGGGCTGCAGTGACATTCAGTGTATACCTACAAATTAGTGGAATGCCTCTCTCCACTGTTATGCTCTTTTTGACAATGCTGTGGAGAATATTGTCAAGGAAAGTCCATTTTATTTTAAACTAAGCCTGCAAACATGTTCTACCAAATGTCATGGGAGTTGTAAAGTCTTCTGTTCCTTCTGTCATGGGAAAAAACCCAGTCTTTTAGAAACACTCACACAGTGTAAAACAATAGTTAACAGTCCTCTGACTCAGTATATCTGAAAGTATCCTCTTCAAACCTGCGCATGGAAAGTTCATTTTCCAGATAGATGAAGAATTTTACAAGTGTTGGGCGCTCTTCTGCCAATAATTGGCATCAGTAATTTTCTGCTTTGCTTAGAAAACATGAACTTTGTATAGTAGTTGATACAACTTATTATGGCTTAATAGAAAAAGGAGGTCTCCTAGTTCTTATTTTTGATGCTGGTGTCTACCTTTATGGATTCAAGTTATCCTTAGAATGAAGTGGATCCTTAAATTACATGGTGTTGTTGGTGAAAAATCTTAATCATTGAAAGATGACTGTGCGTCACCTGGATATGTATTGTAGGATACAGAGACATACTCTTATTTGCTCTGGTCTTTTTCCCTCATTTTCTGTCCTTCCTATTATAAAGAACAGGTGAGTCCTTTTTCATGAGGTAAATATTATCTTTTCTTATAATAGTTGTTGTTAAAATTTATGTCAAAAGAATGTTCTATATGTGCTAACTATAAATCTGTTTTCCCTGTGAAGTCAGTTGCATAAACCATTGTCAAATTAAAAGGAGAAAGGAGGTATAAGGATGTAATTTATAAACAGGTAAAACCAGTGTTTGCTTACAAATTAGTTGAGTATAAGGGATCTGTTTCTGAGATATGGACCTTTGATAAATGGATTTTTTTTCAGTATTCATTAAAAGATAGTTGGTCTAGCATGATGGGATTTTATTGTCCATTTTCTGCGCCGTGTCAGAAATAAACCTTGCATTAGTTCAATTCAAATCCGTGTGGGCATCAAAAGCTTGGGGAATTCATCCAGCTGACATCTGTATCTGGTCAGGTCTGTTCTCAGATGAAATAGCTCACCAGGGAGCCACAGAAATAGTCGTGCTGCTGTAGAAATGGCAGCGTGCAGCTGCAGCTGAAGAGAAATGTGGGGCTGTCCCTCTGTGAGAGGCACAGCCCTAGATGCACCTCACTGAATAACTGCAACACAGGACTATGAACATCCTCCACTTTTGCCTGCTCTAGGCTTTTCTCCACCTCCTCTGCCTGGCATTCCTGTTTAGGGAGAGGTTCTTTGACTTGCTGAAGTTGTTCATGTGCTTTGGGGGTGACAGCACCAAGCTGGGGAAGAGGCTGTTGTGTAACCATCACCAGTAAAATCTGATTCCCACTGGCTGAAACTGTGGATGCAATAGGCAAACTCAAAGTCATGCTTCAACTGAATTTTCTGTTGCCATTTTTTCCCTGCTGAAACCAGAATGCTGCATGTGGTACTGCTTGTTCTGGTTAGATGACAATAATCTTAGTGAAATCATGTAGTCCCAATTGTTGTTCACTATGTGGCTTTGTTTGTTGATGGCCGTAAACTAAAACGCAGAGTGCCACCTTGACATGAGGAAGAACTTTTTTACATGAAGGGTACACACCTGCTCCAGGTGATCCTGTCTTGGCAGGGCAGTTGGACTGGGTGATCTCCAGAGGTCCCTCCAACCTCAGCATTTCTGTGGTTCTGTGAAATATGCTCAATTGTGGCAAGAAGAGATAAAGGTGGCTAAATTAAGGGGTTGTCTATATTCAGAACTCATCAGTGAAATCCTTCATATATTTAACTGAAAGACAGCTGGAGTAATAAGTCACTGGAGGAGAAAACAGAAAAAATGCATTTGATGTTTGCACTTTAAATGTGTCGCTATTTTTTGATAGTGATTTTGTCAGAGCTGAAATCTGAAGAGGGTAGAGGAGTTCCAGCTACAGCTCTCACATTCGTTTAGTGTTGCTGCTTATTTTTATTTTTTTAAAATATGTAGTGCTGCTTTAATAAGGCAAAAATGGGTCAGGGTCTGTTAGATATTCAGTGTGTGGGTGGGAATCCTTTGACGTGCTTTGTGGGGAAGCCACCAACTTGGGAATTGCTGCTGAGGATGCAGGAGAGCCAGATAAAATTCAGGCAGTAGCAACAGATAGTACAATTAAACCCTTTCACACCCACTGAAAGGAAGAGACTGGAGAGGTGGCTGAAATCTGGCAGTTAACCAATATCCTGGAAATTTTTTAAGGATGTGCTTTGTAATTCTCTGGGCAGAATAAGAAATTATGCCCCAAAAGTATGGCTAAATAGTACAGAATTCTTCATACAATTTTAAATACCATTTTAGGATAGTTTTAAAGTGATTTTGAGGTGTGAGTATGCTTATGGATTTTGCTTTCAGAGTTACACAAAGTTTGCAAAAGGAAAGTGATAGATGAGCTGAGCATTGTATGCTCTGGGGAAAATAGATTTTTTTTTTTCCCCCCCAGTTCTATAAAAAACAGCTCTTTTTTTCCCAATTTTGATAAGCTTTTTTTATATGCTTATGAGTTGTACCTGTGTACTATATATTGTTGCTTTTCTTGCTATATATTATTTTTATTTAGCTTTTAACTGTAGTTGTGTAAGAAATACAATTAATGTGCAATCAAGGTATACTCGTTACAATTTTGCCTTGACTGCATATAAGTATACTTTATTAGTTACTTATAGGGTTATTTATTTCTAAAGAATTCTCCATGTATGTCAACATCTGGCTGTCTCTCAAATGCAGGCAACAAATATAAGGCACCTTCTATATGAGGTGGAAAAATAAAATTGAGAGTAGTAAAAAGACCCTGAAATGCCATTAATAATACAATATTACTTTAATGGCATTTATTTTGTTTCCCAAAATATTTGAGTAGGAAAGCCAAACACATTTCTGTATCGAAACATAATGTCATTATGATGTGAATGCTCTTGAATAAGCTGCTCAATCACATCATTTTAGTGGGAAAATCTTGGAAGAGAGAGGTTGTACATTAAGTGAGGTTTAGTTTTGTGGATAAGTGACATTTATCAGCTTGGAGTTTAGTTTTGGTTTAGTTTCTCTTACAATATACCCTGCTTCCAGCCAGGTTAACTTTTGCAGTAGCCAGTAGGGGCATGGCCAGGACCTGGATGTCATTGCTCAGCACCTTACATCCTGGGCAGGGGGTGGGGAGGGAGGGGAAGGGGTCTCCCCCACTTGTGGATGGGAGGTCAGGAGACTCTGGAGTTCCACGTTTTTGTGTGTGAATAGTTCACCTCTCTTGTGCACCCTGTTACTGGCATTGCTGCCAGTGTTGCTCGTTTTCTCATTTCATATGCTGCTTCCAGTAAATTGTTCTCACCCAGCCTGTGATCTTTGTCTGGTGTGCCTCCAGTTCTCCTCTGCAGGGAGAGGGGGTGGCACTGATGCCTGGTGAAGGCTGGCCTAGAGCAGAGGCTGGACAGAGCTAAAGAATAAAGCAGGGATTGATTTAAAGGATCTCCTCCATGGATCCACCTTGGGCAGCACCAGAGCCCAGCCAGGGCTGCACCCAAATAACCCAAAATGGTCCCAAAATGCACGAGCGCTCCTGGGGCTCTCCCTGGGATCAGTTCTGCTCCATTGGCACCTTGGAGTTCATTGTCCCATTCC